CAAGTGCATCGCTAGTAGTAACAGGTGCCTTACTAGTAGTAACAAGAAGCTACTAGGGGCTCCTGGCATCGCTACTAGGAGCAAGGACGCTACGAACGTAACAAGCACAGTTCTTTGGAGTTTGTGAAACGCCGGATCCTGAGTTATCAGTTCTCTAGTCCGAAATCTCCCACAAACATACCTCTTGGTTCGGCAAAATGAGCATTCGCAGCTGCTCCAATCACATGCACATGCTTCTCACTGAAATCATGTACAAGAGTTTCAAGCCGCTTCCAAAAGCTAGCAATCTGATCTGCAGGATGTCCACTGTGCGGTGCATGACCGTTAACAATTAGAAGCTCAACACCTCGACATCTAGCACGGACAAGCTGCAACTCGGGCTCAGAGACCAGCACTTGGACATGCTCTTTGTCAAAAACAATTTTTCCTTTGGCATCTCTTCGAGCCATCCAAAGCTCCAATCCTCCTTGCCCCGGAGATGATTGGTCGAAACAATCATGTTGGATCCCCGAGATCTGGTCTCTTGCAAGCAAAGCAAGTCGAGACCGTGTGCGCTCATCTGTTCTTTAATATATTGAACCACATAAGGACCTCTCCTACCAAGGGAGGCCACATTGTAGGTGGCAAAAAAAGGAAAAAGAAACGCACTCTTTTCTTCATAACAAATTGGCTGTCGAAGTCGAGCAGGTATTCGAGCTTTCCAGTCAGACGGTTGTCTGAGCTGTGGCATAACCAGTGACGGATCACGGATTTCTGGAAGGCTGGGGCTCTGCCGAAATTGCGCAAATAAAAGCCAGAGAAGTTCGATGGCAAACTTTTTCCCGCACACAAAGGGGACATAGTCAGGTCTGGCAACTGTCAGCCGATTCATTTGCAAGCGGAGACATCTCTTGGCCAAAACATCAGCCAACTCATTTCCAAGGTTGCCTTAATGACCTTTAACATGCTGCCACCTCGGCAACAGCTGCGACCATAGCGCGCAGGATCCGGCCATGTACGGAAATCCCCCGTGCCCGCAAATCCAACTGCCGCAGCATCGAAGCAAAAGGAAAGGGGAACCTCAATTCCAGAATGGATAGTCCACTCGATCGCTCGTATCAATGCTGCCGTCTCAGCAGCTCTTGCATCAGACACCTGGGCACCAGTCCAACCCAGATCCAGTGGCTCACAAGTCACAAGGCCGTAGTCGCAGTCCAAGAGGAAATCTCCACCAAGACCATGTCCAATAAAGATCACAGCCCACGCAGCCTCCTGTTCAACAGGCTCTGGCATCCAAGAGTTCTCACAGTCTCAGGCATCTCTGCCAACACTACTTCCCAGTCAATATCCATCTTGGGGCGCTTTTGAAAGATAGAATCCAGGAAAGGTGTGAAGTCTGGAAGAGCAATTTCAAAAGGCTGTACTCTTGATCCGCCTCTCTTGGTCTCTTCTTGCGGGTAGAGATGTGCCTCGAGCGAAATCGGTCTCCTCTTCGCTGTGTACTTGCCATCAAGGATAAAGATCGCCCCTTCACAGAAAACCCAATCATCCAGATCATCGAAATCTGTACTCATCCAAAAGATAGATGGGTTGCCAGGTGGCCGGAGCATATCTGCAATCAAGAGGCAATAGAAAATGCAACAAGGAGTCAAAGGAGGCCGTAATTCAAAGAACCGTCCGTCCCATCTCCACTCGTCCACATTCTCGCTGCCTAGGGTTGCAGTGTTATCCCTTACAGCACTCAGAGCCGGCCATTGCAGAAGCCCAAGAACATCATTGTCTTCATTGACTTCAGCTTCACTGCCATGTACATCTGTACCTTGTTCTTCAGCCCAACGTAGCAGCTCAAGGTCTGGAAAAAGTGGCCGTGCCATATTGCTGCATGGATTTGCCTTTTCCACAACTCGAACAAAGGACCCTTCAGGGATAGAAGGGACCTCCAAAGCCGTGAAAACTCGAACTCCACCTGGGTGGAACCAATACATCTCAAAATTGAGAAGGAGGGGACTATCAATCGGTATGGAAGGACCCGCAAAAGGGCGAACGATCTCGGCTACAGTCAAAGTACCGCATCGAACTGCTCCTCTTCGAAGGACGTTGGAGTAAATCAAATCCATAAGGAGTACCCTCATACCCAATTCAGCATCTCGCGTACTCGCACCCAGAATCAACAGGTCATTGCTTTCAGGCGTGATAGGTGGCGGCCTATCAGCTATCACCAAAAACCTGAATCCACGTGGTCTGTTCCTCCAGGATCCGATCCAGCCAGTCCAATCAGGCACCTGTGGACGCAACTCTACCCTAATTACAGTATCGTGCGGTCCAACACCTTCTGACGGGATGAGCCAGAACACCTTCTGACTCTTCCGCCCCTAGGAACAGTCGCAAGAGTGCTGTCCGAGAATTTCGCCACGGCCAGAGAATTCGTCCCCTCGTTGACTCGACATCTCCAGAGAAAGATGCTCCCAAGTCTCTTCTGAAGGGATTGTCCCAAGAGAGCTATCTCCACAGGTTGTCTGATCATCTTCAATCTCCCATGAGAAAAGTTCAAGGAAGTCACCCTTTCGCAATTCAATATCATGGTAGAACTGCTTTCTCTCTCCTCGAAAAAGAGCATAGCATGCAGAAGCTGCACGACATTGATGATATGGCATCGCCAGGTCAAAAGCCGAGTCAACGCCCACAGGTGGATAGGTCCCATCAACCACAATTGACATCAGGTTGTGTCTTCCCTCATCATGGACTCTGCATAGCACAGGGACGTGATGCGGTAAGATCTCACTGACCAAGATGTGTGGCGGAAGTACCATCAGGATCGGAGCGGGCTCGACAGGAACAAGCACTTGTTACTGGAAGCGATGCACTTTGTTTCTACTAGCTTCTTGTTACTACTAGTAAGGCACCTGTTACTACTAGCGATGCACCTTGTTTCTACTAGCTTCTTGTTACTACTAGTAAGGCACCTGTTACTACTAGCGATGCACCTTGTTTCTACTAGCTTCTTGTTACTACTAGTAAGGCACCTGTTACTACTAGCGATGCACCTTGTTTCTACTAGCTTCTTGTTACTACTAGTAAGGCACCTGTTACTACTAGCGATGCACCTTGTTTCTACTAGCTTCTTGTTACTACTAGTAAGGCACCTGTTACTACTAGCGATGCACTTGTTCCTAGTAGCTTCTTGTCCTTGCAAAAAGTTGAGCAAAATCTGCTTCAACAAAGCTAGAAGTGGCAACCGAGAAGCCAGCTCTGACTGGATGTTGCTGGACTTACTCTTCGACCGACATGTGGAACCAAAAGGTGATCTCCACCGTGGTCATTGTCCACTCAGCTGCATACTCCTGAATCACTTCAAAATGCAGTTGGCGAGGTAGCTGACGTTGCATCATCCAGGTCGTATCATATTCTGCGAACGGAAAAGATGCGTCAATCATCTCTCCAGACCACGTTTGCGGTGTGACATCACATCTCTTGATCTCGACATCAATAACAATCTTCATGCCATGGAAAGGTCTCCAGGAAACAAGCAAGGGAAGCTCATGCTCAGCGTGCTTGACTGTACATGTGACAAATGGAATCATGCATCTCCTTGCCAACCCTACAACCTCCAAAAGCGTCTCAGTCATCATCCTTTGTGGGAGCTCTAATGGATGGATGTCAATGTTTTCTCCCAATCGATGATCCCAGATAACCACCATTGCCAGGGCATAGCATGGATGCATCTCCTCCCCAATGAGAACATACAGAGCATCTTGTCCATCCTGTTCTCTCACAGTTGGCGGTGGCTTGACCACTGCCAGCGTCACCAAAGAGAGCTGAGAAATTCGTGGTTCAACATGGGTTCGAATCATTGCTTGCACCGTCTGGCTTTCAAAGTCAAGCAGATCATCGATCTCAATTTCCAAGAAGAGAACTGTGTCCTGGACCAACCCACTGAGAACCAAACTCGGCCAGGTCCCTATCGACCTTCGAAAGGTCACAGCTTCGGCTTGTAGGTCTTCAAACCCAAACGTAGTTCCAGGAACCTCTTCCAAATAAAGATTCCTTTCACTTCCTCATTGAACTCCTTCCTTAGAATCTCGGATGAACTTTTTCTAGGGTAAACAGTGAATCAGGGCCATCGCTAGTAGGGGGAGGCCATTGCATTTTGTTTGATGGCAATTGGTGTGTGGAATCTTCGTCCCCGAAACTTGGTGCAAAGAGTCGTCGCCGTTCGCAAAGCTCAAAACCCGCAGAGACCGGAGACGGTTGAGTCGGGGGAACAAGCACGATCAGTATTGAGAAACACATGTTTGAGATGGAATAAAGAACGGAGATGTGTTAGTTTGTGTGCTTTTCACGGCAGGACCCCCAGTTTTTGGCCGCCACGGAGAAGGCCGCCATGACGAAGTTCGACACGAAGCGCGCATCGTGTATCGTGCAGGAGGAAGGCACATCAATCAAGAAAAGGGCAGCCGGTTGGGTGCGCCTTCTCGGCTTGAAATGGCGATGTGACTCAAGACACTGTGAGAATGCTGGTTTGATGTCGGGGATCCACTGCATTTCCTGTTGGCACGAAGGAACTCACATGTTGGAAGTGTTTTCGCTCGTTCGGGCGGTGGCCAAGGCGAAGACGTTAGGTTTGGAAGAAAAGTGAGGAACTCAGACGTTTGGAGACCTTTAGCTGAAATGAAGAAATGAAGAACAGATGCAAACCAATTTGTTTCATGGACCTATGGGGGACCTTTAGCTCTCACTCCTCTCCATTCAGCTTCATCCCAACTGTACTTTACTCTGTTCCAAAAAACGATTATGTCAAAGATGCAATGAGACTCGGATAATATACTCTGCCCAATAAATGTAGAGCAAGGTGGGTGACAAACAGGAGAAGTGGCATAGGGTAGGGTAAAAGATAAAGCAGAAGCGAACACAGGTTGATCAACTACATATTTATGTAATATATAATTAGTAGTCCGGGTCTGTGGTTGACAAAGTACAAGGTAGTTCTGGTCGGCTGTGAAAAGATCTGATCTTGGCTCTAAACACTGTTGGAAACCATTGTAAAGATGCAACTCGAGTTTAAATAAGTGTGTCCAAGACTACGGCAGGGTAAGATTGACAGAGTAGAGTGGCATACATACAGACAGAACACGCCCACGCGATTATTGTGACCAAAATTGAACAGTATCATGGGTGTGCGATCCTTGTTGAGTCATCCATTGCAGTACAATCATAAAAGTTAGGTTGTAGCCTTACTTTTCGTTTGTCCCTCCCTCCCCTGTCCTAGGTTGAAGCCTTTTGCGCGCTTGCATGTTCACATCTTTTCACTTTCTGCATCATTTCGATCTGAAGTCTTCCTTTCAAACCTCCCTTCAAGTAGACAGTAGGGTAAATGGGCCGAGTATATAAGGGTGAAAAAGTACGCGCATGCCCAGGACATCCTGCAGAGCGTTAGGGTGCATCATTTGCTTGCAAAGGCTGTAGGTGCATAAATACGAAAAGGGGCTTATGAAAGGGTTTACATATTTTTGTATATTCAGGGGGTGCTTTCTCATTGTTTATCGGATAACTAGCCCACTCCTCTCCATTCAGCTTCGTCCCAACTGCTTATCTACTCTATTCTAAAATATGATTGTGTCAAAGATGCAATGAGACTCGGAATATATAGTATGCCAACTAAATTTAGAAGAAGGTGGGATACAAACAGGAGAAGTAGCTCAGGGTAGGGTAATGTACATCGATGCAAGATGAAGCAGAAGCGAACACAGGTTGACAAACTACATATCATACATAGTAGTGCTGGTCTACGGTGTCTTTCTTGGCTCCTCGCACTACTGTACCCCGTTGTATTGCGCGCTTCCGATCCTTGATGTTTGAAAGGAAACAGTGAAGCAACATGAACGAATTCTTAGAGGTTAGAGTAGTAAGGTAGACTAAAAGAGTTATGAACGTAGAGGAACGTAGCGTAGAATGCCGCAGTAGAAATGCTGCATCCTCATGTTTGAGTTGTATATGGTTTAAGTAGTCCGCAGAACTCAAAGCAAAATCGCTGGCCTTCCTCAGCTTCCTGGTGTTAAAAGCAGTCTACATATTTAGATGTTTTGTTTTGCAGAAGACTAATAATTCAAAATCCTTCAGTTTCCTAAATATTATGCTGCTATATTGAATTTTAAAAGCAAAATTTTACAAAAGAAAAATATGTTGGTTAGCTTTTTAGGCGACTTTTACAAAAGCACAACTACAAAAACTAAAACCTTCAGGTTCCTAGGTTTTCATGTATTCAGAAATTCAATTTTAGTTTTGCGGCTTACTAAACGAAACACAGAAAAACTATGTTTGTTTGCGGCCTTTTAAACCATATTTAGTTAGTTTAGTGTTTTTTCCCCAAACAGTTGTGGGCACACTGAGGGGGTCTTACGGTAGTAGAACAGCAGCTGGTGCTTAGATCGCTGAAGCACGCGGGCATGAACGGCTAATTCGCTGCTATTTACAGTACATTCATGATTCTCGACATCGTCCATGCGCTTCGACTGCGCAGGCTCGCAGAATCTGGGTGGCCGCAGTGGGTGCTTCTAGCGACTGCGCTCTCGTTGTGGTGCCGTGCGCATTTTCATACATGATGGTGACTTTTCGTGGCAGGCGCAAGGGAAACCTCGTGTTTTGGTGCTCCAAAGTCGACTTTTCGCGACAGGTGCAAGGGATCGGAGCTGCTTTACTTCGAAATGCAGTTTTCGTGACAAGTGCAGCACTTTGGACATGGTGGTGATCGTCGAGGAGCTCAGATTTCGTGACAGGTGCAGTGAATCGTGACTTTTGGACATGTGGCTCGTTTGCAGATTTCGTGGCAGGCGCAGCACTCTGTGCTCCTCGATGTGCAGATTTCGTGGCCGGTGCAGCACTTTGTGAACCTCGAAGCGCAGATTTCGTGGCAGGCGCAGCACTTGGTGAACCTCGACGTGCAGATTTCGTGGCAGGCGCAGCACTTGGTGACCCTCGATGTGCAGATTTCGTGGCAGGCAGTGGCAGGTGCAACACCTGGTGAACCTCCAAGTGCAGATTTCGTGGCAGGCGCAGCACTTCATGAACCTCGAAGTGCTCACACTCGCACTCACACTCCTCACACTCACACCCACTCACTCTCCCACTCAGAGACTCTCACTCTCTCACTCACACTCGCACTCACACTCACACGCACACTCACTCACCCACACTCACTCACACGCACATGCTCTCATCACTCACACTCGCACTCACTCACATTCACATTCCCTCTCATCCACACTCACTCACACCCACCTTCACTTCATCACCACCATCACCTCTCTGGACCCCAATGCGTCTAGCTCTTTAGACTTTCTGCTTACAGACCTCACGCACACTGTGTGGGGTCTCTTGCCCGGATAATTTTTAAGGCCACAAAACTAAAAAGATTAAATCTTTACAGTAGTTTTTTAGCTCTTTTCTAGAATGTTTCCAATGGTACGTTACATGATACAAGGAGGTCCATTGTACATATAATATATATATATATATATTTATAGCTATTTCGCTTGAAGATCGTCAACTGTCAAGACTTGGTGAAAGGTATTCTCAATTCGCTCTCGCAGGACATTGGCTGACGCTTTCACTGGACTCTTCGGATCTGACATTGAGGAGAGAAAAGGATTTTTGCACAAGAGCCGCTCGCCACTTCTCAAGTTGTGAGGCTTTGCAAGATCCGCTCTCCTTTGAAGTCGTGACAGCAGATGAGGCGTCAAACGGAGTGTGGAGAACGGAGAGAATGAAATGTGGAGAATGATGACGAGAGAATGATTTTAAAACGAAGAAAAAAATGATTCGCCTCTCTTCCTCTTTCATTCGCCTCTTTTCCGCCTCTTTTGAAAGTCTTGTTCTTCCAGGACTCCGTGGAGTTCAAGATCCGGCGCGGCCATCCGATCCGTGCGCATCTTGAGCGCAAAGTCACGGTTCCGCCCCCGCAGGTGTCGCAATGGGAAGACGCTTCACGAAAAGAGCAAATTCCAACAGGCAGAAAATGAGTGGTTTGATTTCATTTCAGTTGCGAAAAAGAATCCGTTTGAGAGTTTCCAACTTGCAAGTTTGCACCAAGCGGTTTCGTTTATCATTCCCATTCCGCTTGAGGACCGCAAGTGGGGCTACGTCTACTCGGGAAACTCGGTGCCCTGCAGTCAGAGCGAGTCTTCGATTCTCGTGATTTCATGTCTGAATTCATGTGTTCTTTTTCGCAGGATAACACACTCACCAATTCCTGACCTGCAACTCCACAAATGTTTGGACTGTCGCTCGCATGTAACAATATCATGTCCTTTCTCATGTTGAGGACTTTGCCGAATGGAGCTGAGAGGGCACCAAATTGCACTCGGCCGGGCACGCGGGGGACCGTCGAGTCAGTCGAGGCTTGGATTTTCGTCGATTTTCTGCAAGTACGATGCAAAAAGGCTGTTGCACGAAGTATGAAGATGTACGAAGATGTACTTCGGATTGAATCAAGTGATTTAAAACATGTAAATACGGCAGGATACCACAGGCTTTGCGGCACATTTTGCTGTGCGTTTTTGCTGCCCTGTCGCTCGACTTGGGGATTTGAACGGCTGCCGCATTTGGCTGAGCCTGAAGTTGACAAGAAAACTCCGGAAAACTCCAAACCAGCAGTTGACACACGTCAGTTGACACGTGTTCTATTTTTTCTGTCATATGTTCCCATCATGAACGTGCCCGGCTCCCCGTCGTGTGCCATGTGTGCCTCTCGTATTTCTGTTGAACCGTGATGTTTACAGTTCTCACACAGGAAGTACTTTTGCAAAAATTCCATTTGCACGGTGCAAGTCTGGAAGAGTTACTGGTCTATTTAAAGGATCTCAGTGCGAATGCCGAGACTTGGGCTGAAAACCGTGTGAAGTGGTACGAGTGTGCTCACTTCGATGTTGTTCGATTGTGCACCAAAGAGCAGCAAACGTACGAACTCTTCAAATTTGAGAAGAGCATCGCTACGCACAAGTGCCTTACTAACAATGTTTGCTAGAAAGAAGTGCCATCGCTAGTAGTAACAAGTGCCTTACTAGTAGAAACAAGAAGCTATTCAAAACAAGTGCATCGCTTCATCGAAGCACCGTGTGTTCGATTTCTTGGAGCACTCTGCGCAGCTCGCAGCGAAAGCTCTGCAAACCGCTCCTCGTTTGCGAAGAAACCGCTTGTGTTCAGCTTGTTTGCTGAAGAGGTTGGCTGGTCCGAAAGCAGCGAAAGCTGAAATCTGCGTCCGTCAGACATCCGTCCGCTTCGGTCAATCTCCCGAACAGGTAGCGACAGCTTCGACGTCTCCCATCCGAAGTGCCGACTGCCAGCATCCGAAGTGCCAGCAGCACGTTTCTCACGTTGTCCGCTTGAATGGCTGAGCGTCAAGAAGACGAAAGAAAGACAGGAACGAATCCTTCCAAAAAGAAGCATCCGACTGAAGTAAAAAAGACCGAACTTCGGACAGTTCTGAACTTTCTCTTTCTTTCTCGGACCGATGTGATTTGGACCGATCTTTGGAGACCGTTTGGAGACTCGTGTGACCGATGGTTTCGGTTTGATGAAGAATGACGCACCCCTCGAGCCAAGCCGTGTCGGATGCGTGTCGGATGTGGATGACTACGAGTGAGTGCTGAATCCGAATGAGTCGAATAAGTGTCACTGAAGTGTCACGTGCTGTGAATCCGAAAAGTGTCACAATCCCAAAAGCTGTCAGTTCACACGTGTGAGAGAAGTGATCCGTTCGTTTGGTCGAAGCGCCACGCCACGAATTTCACACAGATTTCCGGGACGGTATCGATAGTGAAATTGTGACAAAATTCTCTCGAAGTGTGAAGCACGTTTTGTGTGGAACAGTCTGTGAAGCACTGTTTGGATTCTCGAGTTTTCGATCTCACTTGAAGCACGTCGCCATAGTGGAGTCTTTCGAGGACGTCGATGAGTCCCTCGTTGCCACATGTTTGCATCAACCTCCTTTCGACCTGTTTGTCGACTTTGCCAGGTTTCGAAGATGTGAACCAAAGGGGGAATGAGTTCTGAATGAAGTGAAGAAGGAGAAGAGACTTGAGACATGAAGAAAGATCGAAATCGCTCTCTGTGCTCAAAGAACTTGAGTAAACATCGAAATCGTCTTTGAAAAAGACGCGCCGTACGCCTACACCACAGTCGTGGCTCGGTCGTCTCAGTCGTCTCAGTCGTCTCCGGTCTCACTTTCGTCCCTTCGTTCCTTCGTCGCGACTGAGTCGCTTTTTTTGAAGATCGAAGTTTCGAAACTGAAGGCGGAAGTTTCAACGGAATCACTCTACTACGCCATTCTGCCGTTCTTGTTGAGTATTGCTCAGTATTTACTTTTCTTATTTCAATGTGTTTTATTGCAAACAACTCAATAGCTGCCTGCTTTTCGTGCGCAAACCCGAACTTTCCGCTCTTTTTCTATGATCCGTTTCTAGCATCCAAGCAACACTCCTTTGGCACAGATTTCTTGGCGGCTTTATCCACACCCTGTTGGGGCGATAGATTTGTAATGCCCTTGTTAGTAGTAGCGAACATTGTTTCTAATAGCTTCTTGTTACTACTAGTAAGGCACTTGTTACTAGAAGCGATGCACTTGTTACTAGTAGCGAACATTGTTTCTTATTGTTTTTTGTATACGAAGTCACTTCGACGAAAACGCAGTCAGCTTGATAGGTCGCATGATCGGTGAGTGCGACCACTCTGCTACCTCTTCCGTCTCCTATCTGCGCTTTAGCAGGCCTTTGAGATCTGCTTTTAGGTCTCCGACTGTCAGAAACTGTATTCGGTTGTTCGAAACGCCGACGCATTGTCGCAACTGATAGGCTGTGGCACTCTGGTCATTGTGATATGGCTTTAGCACTTTGATAACATTTGGTCATTTGATGTCATTTGACATGTGTACCTAGCCAGCCATGAGTGTGCCTTATTTTTGTACTTTTGGAAAAAACATGTTTTTCCAATGAGTACTAAAATCGACAAGTATCACCCAACAAATACCTTTTTTGATATTTGGACACTTTGAGGGACTGAATGTATACTTGTGGCCACCTAGCTTCCCCTTTGCTTGGGCTCATCAGCTCATATCCCATTGACGCGCCACCGGAAGCCTGTAAAATGCTGCTTGCTCCAGGTCTGACTCCACAAAGGGAATTTTGATGGGACATTGCACATCACAGTGTCTAGCAACATCAAAGCAAGTTGCTTCCAGCGTTCGGCAATCTTCAATGGGCAGGTAGCTAACAAACGCAAATTGTGCAGTCCCAGGATCGAATCTAGAGTGAAATTGCCGGGGTATGCACAGCTCATTCCTCCCCAGTCTCCTTCTTCCTAGGCAAACAACGGTGGAATTCTCTAAAACCATACGTTTCCAAAGGGTGATTTCTCTACCACATCAACACACTATTTTAATCAAAGTTCGCTTTGTCCTGACTTTCCTTCTCCGCCGACAGCTGCAAGGCCTTGCTCTCCTGATGGATTGGTGGGGTAGATAGGTTTCACAGTATATTGTGATAAACAACAACCATCAAATCTTTGCAGATCCGACCAGCATTGATGTTCTCAATGATAGGTTCACTATGTTTCACTATAGTAGACAGTGATCAACAGCAGTCCTGAACCATCAAATCTTTGCAGATGCCTCCTGCATTGATGTTCTCAATGATGACGTCCACAAGTTGATTTGGGGGTGGAAGTTCCTCAGCCGAGTAGTTTGGGTTTTTTATATTGAGATGACGGAACATACAGGACTGCATATGGCAACAATGCTGCTGGGCTACGCCCTTGGAGTACAGGACTTCCACGCAGCTGTCCCAAAATGCATCCGGAAGATCGCGAAGGCCTTCATGGTATGAAGACCAGGGTCCAGGGTGAAGAGTATGGGGATAAATACACAGCATTTTTGATCATTAAACTTGCCCAGCCTGCGTTCATGATCTTGTCCAATGAGTCAGCGTTACACCCCTTTAGCGAAGCTGCCATGTTTCTTGAAACAGGCTTGGGCACAGTGAGAAGCGACTGAAGAACGCACTTCACATCACTCGCTCCAACAAACACAGCATCACAATGCAAATGCAAAAAACACTATCCAAACAAGGTGGGACAGGTGGTGGCACCTGATCTGGGCTTTTAGGCACGGGTTCTGAAGTGGCCCTCAAGCAAGCGCAAAATATCACCTGCGATGCGGCCATGTCATTTTTGAATCGTTTATGAGTGACAATGTGTCCAATCTTGGGGGGACAAGGCAACAACCTCCAACAACTCACGTTGTGCTGCCCGATGCAGGTTGGCGATGGGGCCCCTGGGATCTTCTGTGTGGCGAGCTGCCACCCAAAGGCCTGGGCCGACCATGTGGTCTTGAACCTTGAGGGGTCAACTGTGAACCCAGGCGTTGGTCACTTGCAGCGCAAGCTTTCATGGTTGATTCATGCGCAGCGAAGGGTTCAGAAATTGCACACTCGAGACTCCCATTTGACCCATGTCGGAAGGGGACCTCCAAGACCCCTGCCCGGAGCCTATGGATCTGGTTGCAGCTGAAGTTGATGAGGACGAAGCTGATGAGCAGCTTTGGAAAAATGCTGCGGTGGCCAAAAGTTGAGCTTACTGGCATTGCCACCCTTTCAGCTTTGAGCTTGAATCGCCAAGCTGTCTGCGATGTTTTGTCAGTGTGGGCTGCCCATAGCAACAAGGAAGCGAAGTCGCCTCCAGTGCACTGGCTGAAGCAAGAGGTGCTAAAGTTGCCAAATGAACATTTCTTAGTTTTGCCATTTCTTCAATTGTTGTGGTGTTGACCCTTTCCAAAGTGGATTCTGAACAGGTGAAGTGTTGCATTTGTTGAAATGTGGGGTAAACAGGTGAAGCAGCTGTATGTCCTGATGAATGTGGAGCCCAAAGCTTGCAATATCTACTTGGATTCTTGGGGAACCAAGCGCTTGATCTCGCTATGCTTGCGAAAGTGGAAGGCGCCGATATACAACTTTCGTGTTGCTGTGCGACAACCTATTAGACCCATCCAAACTACGTAAACCAATGATTTGAGGAATCAATGGTTCCAACTTTCCACTTTGCCTGTCGGGCCCATTGTGGAACACTTTTTGCATGGCCTTGGCCAAGCAAAGTAGAAAATTGTAAAGCCATGGTCGAGCTTAGGATCCAACGCTTCACGTGCTGATGGATCTCATGACTCAGCACTGGGGTCACCTGCATGCTCAACCAGGGCTGCCGGAACCCCTTCCAAACGCTGAGCCGCCCGAGCAGCCTGAGAGAGAAGACCTGGCGCAGCTGGCTGATGCTACTTCCATGGATTCCCCTTCAAGTGGGCTGCACGCTGGGGTTGTGTCTTCGGCTGGTGCGCCAATGGCTTCTTCTACACCGGTGGACCTTGAGGGAATGCGCAATGAAAGAGAAACCATCTTGAGACTTGATTTTGTTTACGTTTGTTTGCAAGTTTTTTGATGTGATTTCATTGATGGAGCAGAGATGCGCAGGATATCTGGTTCCAAACTGAAATTATCCGAGGCGCCGCCTGCAAGCAATCCAAGCAGCCAGGCAATTGCCGCCACCGCCTCCAGCTTTGCCGGAGATCCCAGTAGGCTCGGGGGCATTTACTATCATTTACTGGATCCAAAGCCTATCTGGCAAAACAAAACTACATAAAGAATGTTATATATATATATATAATGGGGAATGTTTCTATAGAATCCATGTTGCAGGTGTGAGCCCTGATGTGGTGGATACTTTGCCGTACGATCCATGGGTGCCACTGCATCCTTTGCCCAGCGCCCCTGTGCCAGAGAACATGGAACCTCAAGTTGACCCTCCCCAAGTTGGTCCTGAGGCCGCAGAGGTTCTCCGAAGCCGTACTTGCATCTATGAAGTTGACCGTGAAACCGCAGTGCTTCTCCGAGCGCCTACTCTCATCTATGGAGAAGTGCCTGATGCATGCCGTCAAGAGTCCATGGAGCCTGAGGCCACTCCAGCGCCAGTTGAACCGATCCCACCAAGTCCTGCAGAAGCGCTTGAAAAGGAGGATGCTTCGATGGCGCCTGCGGCTGCATCTGGTGGACCCAGTGGTGAGTCAGTGGGTGAGCCCATGGAGCCTAAGCCCACCCCAGCGCCAGTTGAACCGATCCCACCTGCAGAAGCGCCTGAAAAGGAGGATGCTTCGATGGCGCCTGCGGCTGCACCTGGTGGACCCGAGGGTGAGTCAGAGACGGCGTTTGATGCTTTGGCCTACCAGGTGCCTAAATGGAGGGCAAAAGCGTTTGGCTTCAATTAAGCCATATAACTTATCGCTTTTTTGGGGGCTTCAGGTTGTACAACTCAAACTGGAATGACAAAGCAAGCGCCTAGTCAGCCCTGACCTGATACATGGTTCAATTCTTACTGCGCCCAGATCGGCAACCAGATTTTACTCCTGGAGGCTTTGAGGGACTGGAGCAAAGTGCTGAACTGGGTGTTGAAGGTCGTGAACTGCCCAAATCACCCGTCCGCCAGCTGTTTCCGGAGCCCATAGATCCTGCCAAACGTGCCAGTGAAATCACGATGCCGCCTCCAACTCACCTGAGCCAGGGGGCGATTGATCGTCGGGTTTGGAGGGTTATGGAGCCGAACAGCAAGGGGCAGTACAAGGTAAGTGAAGAGATTAGGAAGCTTTGGTACCAATGGCAAGAACAAGGTGCTCAAATTGTTTGCTGAGTGTGGGAATGACAGTGAAGCTTTCATCAAGCGTTACTCATTGAAAAAAGAACATGAGAAAGAGACTGAACTCGGAGTCTTCTTTGCCTTTCTCACTGAAGAAGAAATTGCCGACCGACCGGAGACTCTTAGCTGAACAGGGTTCAACACAAACTGGATTGTACAAGGTACATATAGCCACCATGGCACCAAACAGGGCTGGTCTGCTTGTTCTTCTTGAAGGTGTTCTTTTTTGCTCGTTTTTATTATCAGAAAAGAGTGAAACAGGACACCTCCAAAATGCCGCTGCTACCTTTAAAGCCTCATCATTGCAAGGGCCAAGGCCAACCCGACGAAGATGATGAGGTCTGCGTAGGGATGGAACATACAGTATACTATATAATATATAGTCTGACGGGGCTTTTGTTCATGGTCTTTAACCTGCACATAGGGTTCCACACAAAACCATTGAATACATTCAGAATGGGTGGGCTGCGGTTTCACCATGTTTCACCTATGTTCAGGTGGAGCGCACAAATGTGCACAAAAGGATGAGTGGACCTACTATGTCGAAACGGAAGTCAGTGGCCATTCCAAGTGCCTTGATTCAGCTGTTGGCAACCACCTCAAACAGGCAAAGTAGGAGAACTGGATTTTGGACCCCCCAAAAGTAATTAACCTGATGGATACTGAGCGCTGCAACCATGAATTAAGGGACCGTATGAAAGCCAGCTTTTCGGAGAACGTTGATTGGGAGACTGAAGAAGCAGCGATTGACATGGACATCGATTTGGAGATGCCCTTCCGAGGCTTGTTAGAGAGTACTGCATGGTTGTAATTTCTATGGCGCCCTTCAGGAGCGGGCCCCAAATTTGTGTTCATCTGAGCCCTTCATTGGCCCATACGCCTGGCCCCAGGTGGCTCCGATGGCGGTGGAGGGGAGGAGCAACTGCCACCTTCAGTGCAAGAAACCATGAAGCTGTTGAAACGATTGGGGTACCCTGAGGTTCAGGAATCCACCAAACCTTCGACTTTGCTTACCAAAGTCATTGGCTCGCTCACCAAGCGAATGGGAAAAGTTGAAGAAACCAAGAAACTCTTTGCAGTTTCACCTGGCCAGTCGGTTCTGATTGACAAGACCCTCGGATTTCAATCGTTTGTCCATGGACACCTCACATCTTTTTTCCAATCGTTTTTCAATTTCTGCGTCTCTTCTGCAGCGCCATTCAGCCATATGAGGATTGTGCAAAAATTGGGCCAAGTGTATTCGCAATTGGATGCGCAGATTGAGAACCTCTCGAACCAAGTGAGCACTGGTCTCCTTGAAGGGTACACTCCAGAGTCCAATCCCCAGAGAGTGCTTGCGCGCTCAACCCTTTCAAGTACACGATTGCAAGGTCATGGAAATGGCAACAATTTGGGGAATTCAAACAACAACCCAACAACCCTCCAAGGCAAGAGACCTCGCTCAAGGCAGAAATTGCGACCTCTCGATCTTTGTGGGGGCCTTGTATACAGTATACAGATGCTCAGAACTGTTCAGAATTCAGGGGCGCTTATAGACCTTGACTTCTGGGGAAAATGTCAGATCAGGTTACTTGAGGCTTTCCATCTTGAACAAAGAGCCAGGACACGGTGATGTTTTGGTTTGACACTGTGGATACAATATAGCTCTCAAATAGGCCTTCCCTGAAACTTATCTGCCGCAGGACCGTTGTGCCCAAAGCTTCGCCTGCTGCCAAGCAGCAAGCAAAGGCGAAGGCAAAAGCCAAAGCAGCCGGGAAATCTCCTGGTGAAGAGACGCCCAAAAGGGCAGCAGCTGCCAAGGATGCAGCTTCTAAGAAACGAGCCCGCAAGTGAGCGGGGATCTTGTTGCAGTCGTGATCTCTGAGTTTTGACAAAGTTTTGACCTACTAGCTTGGATCCCTGCACATGGCTGCAAACATCACAGGGCTCAATATGGAAAAATGAGCAAGTGCGTGCACTTATAGTTGATAAAGGTAGTGATCGCTGTGACTAAATCCATCCATTGGGAAAATATGCCAGGTGAAGAATCCTCCAAACGGAGAACGCTGGTCCGGGGCCTATAAAAAGGACAGCGCCACTCATACTAAGGGCGATGGCCTCCAACCTAAGAGCGATGGTCTCCAACCTAAAAGCGATGGATTCCAACCTAAAAGCGATGGCCTCCAACCTAAGAGCGATGGCTTCCAACCTCCATCCAACCTAAGAGCATGCCGTCCAACCTAAGAGCCATGGACTCCAACCTACACTTGTCCCGCCCGGCCCAGGCTCCTGCCTGCCGCATGGGCAGCATTGCCAGGCGGATGGGTGCAACAATGTTGAGAGCCTCCGCGAAGCAAGCAAAGTGCAGCCAACTCATCAGGAGAGGGATGCTCACAGTGTGCTCAACAAGTATTGGCTATCTCTAAAGGTGCCTATCAGCAACTTGAATATTGAGATAGAAGATGGTCAAGCTGCGGCAATTTCTCACTACAAGGTCGTGCTTGCATGAGAACAACATGTGTGTATGTTCTTGTCAAAGATAGCCCATATATGTATAGAGCATGGTCTCGAAATTGCCGGGTATATATGGAACAACATAGAAAATAACTTTGTGTCCAGCCTCCTGTATTAGAAAGCAATGACGGATCCCTGGAGGTCCAAGACATGGCGAAGCACCTCCTCACAAAGCATCCGCAAGTATTGCTTGGGGGTGATGCCCTGGAGTCTGCAGGTCCCCGGTGCCAAGCTTTTTGGGAGAAGTTTCGTTGGCAACAACCGAACCACAAAGTGTTTGAACAGTTCAATGACTTGAGCCAAGTCATTCCAATTGCCATGCATGGTGACAAAGGCCGAACGTTGAAAAAGTCACCAATTGCTTGCTACTCATGGGAATCAATTTGGGGCTTGCCAGCGTCGCTGAGAGATACTGCAACTGAACCGGCGATGAACCGCAGGGCCCAACAAAGTATGACACTGGCCGCTTGGGCATCACATGTCTAGAGAGGTCCCAGTCCACCAGCGGGTCAGAAACATACGATGGTGGGGATCACGCCTGCACCATCAAACGGAGGCGCCTGGGCGAGACCGGTGAATGGCTTGAAACTCACAACTCTTTGGGAATCTTGTGGGGGTGTGGTCATGTTGTTTTTTTCAACGATATACCTATATATATAGATTTGTTGGAAAAGGAAATCGGCAAAATGTTGATGTGTTGAGGGTTCCTTCTTGTTCTGCTTTTGTCTCCTCATAAGCGCACAATCATATCACAAGGACATTCCTTCTTGAATCGGTTCCTCTTTACTTGTGTTCCCGGGGCTGTTTACAGCCTGGACAGTGCAACCATACTCCGAGCAGTCCTGACAGAGATGGCAAGTGAGCTACGTCATCTTTTTTATCAAGGAGTGGAAATCAATTCGGTCGTTTACCACTTTGCACTCATAGGAGTGAAGGGGGATGCTGAATTCCATGTGGAAGCTGGGGAATTCCTTCGGAGCTATTCGAATGTTGGCACTACCAACAATTTGAAATGCTGTCCAGACTGCGAAGCCGATGACAACTTTGGCGATGTATCCGACAACCCAGTGTGGCTCAGTACGGTATCCCGCCTCAAGGCTAGAAGGTTTCGTGTTTGGGTTTAAGTTTGTTGTTGCGCTGCTTTGCAATTTTGTGTTGTATTTGTGGCGTTTCCTAACACCCACAGGGCCAGCGGAGGGAAATTATGCGCATGGCAATGTGGCGCTGCGATGCACATGCATCAAGGGTCGGGGTGGGTT